TGGCCTTTGCGGCTACTTACGGAGTGAATCAGCAGATGGAACATCTTCCTCCCTGTCTCTCCTTCTCTCTATATGTCTGACTTTGCAATAAAAATAAATACATCTTAAAGAAAATCTGTTTCAATGCCAAAACACCCAACATCTGAATCGGAAACACACAGCACATTCAAGAACTATTGCCCTGGAGAATCTTCCACGTGTCAGCTGTCACTCGCCCTGCCACCCAGAGCTCCTGACCATCCTGGGAACCTGATGTGGATGGGACCTGTGCTTAAAGAACTCGTTTTCTTACACAAAATCCACCGGGAAACCGCGAACTCACCCTCGGCTTGCACGGGAATCACTTTCTTGCCTTCTTTTTCCCTGAATTTCACTTGACCGGCAGAGCGGGGAAGAGGAAGATGGACAGAAAAGCCCCTTGCTATTGGCTCAAGCACCCAGATGCCTGCAAAGACCTGGCCAGGGCCACATGCAGGGCAGGAACTCCAGACCGGCCTGGGTAGCAGACAGCTTGGTCAGGAGCTGACTGACTGCGAGTTGCTCACACCAACCCACCAGCCCTCAGTGTGCAAGCACACGGGAACCCGGACCGTGCACCTGACGCCAAGGGCGCTGTCAGTCATCCACTCCAACAGCTGTTAAGAACTTGCTACATTAGAAATGACCCATACAAATGCAGACAGCCAGAAGTGTGCTCTGGCCTAATCCTGCAGGCTGTCTTAGTGCAACTGACCAATTCGAGCTCAGCCATGGCTGACACCCACTGCTCCACACGGTCCACAGCCAAGCCCAGGGTCCCTGCTGCAGCCTGCACTTCTGGGGAAGGTGGTGCCCTCCTCGTGAGGGACAGAGCTTGAGGAAAGTAACCGATCTAGAAACTAAACTTCCAAGGCAGAGCAGACGACCGCCAGACACTCTCCCCTCGGCAAACGTGCCGCGTGCCCAGCATAGCCGCTCTTTGTCACACAGCAGCAAGGTGACAGCACAACTGGCCGAGAAAGGAATGAGGAAAATGGGCCAGGTAACGGAAAGGCCACGGGCTCTCAGGGAACAGCACCAGACAAAACAGCCTCCATCTTACAGACAGGACACAGAGCCTCACTCCACCATCTCACTAACAGAGAAGAAGCGTGCACGGGGCTCTCCCAGCAGGCAGAAGCTAAGGTCCCAGCTGGACACTGCCTTCAGAGGCTCCCCAGGGACTGAAATGGAAGAAATGCAACCCAGTTAAGCCATAATCCAGAAAGGGAAAGAACTGGAGGAAGTCGACCATAGTTCCAACAGAACGCAGGGCACCTCAGCATCCTGCCAAGTGACTCCCACGTGTGAATGCGGGCAAGGCTGTTGCCCACCAGCCAGCTGCAGCCACTGCCGTCCACTCCTGCCTGCCCAAGAGCTTGTCACTGCAGCAGGTTGAGAAGGGAAACAAAGCAGAGAGCAAACCAGGGCACTAATTCACAACAGTCACGGCTGGGACCCATACAGGAAGCCTTGTCTCCAAGGCTGACTCTTCGCAACACAGAATCCTGGGAGAGGACTGCTAACTGCACAAATCACTCTAACGGACCCCCGAGCGGCCTGAGCAGCCCACTGTGGGAATCGGGAACAATCTGTGTTAGGAGAGCAGAAGCCATCAGACCAGAACATGGCTGAATGCTCTGCCGTGCTGGGCACCAGTGGGGCAACGGCCGCAGCTGGGCACCAGGCAGGCCATTCGCCTGCAGGACCGGCACCACGATCTCCACTTCCAACAGGAGGCGGCGGCTCTCCACCCACGCCAGCCGCGGGGAAGGCTGGGAGGTGAGCTGTGGCAGCCCGCAGGATGCGCCCAGGCACTGCACTGGAGAAGTACCCCACTGCCCCCATGCACAGGGGAAAGTATTTTTCAGTACAAAACAGAGTTCAGAAGATACCAAAAATGCCTCTACCCTGGAAAAAGGGACTGGTCTCCAAGATATCCGGTGTTAAGACTTTCTCAGAGAGGGCCCTGTGCCCACACCTGCCAGCGTCAAGCAGCTGGCAACTGGGGCTGGGGATCCACAGATACAGAAGCCAGGAGATCCAGCGGGAGGCTCAACTGCTGACAAAGTACAGGAGCAGGACGCCGGACTCCGCAGCTGTGATCAGCCAGGGCTATTTCCAAGTTTTTAGCTGCTTTGTGAAAAGGAAGCTAACAGTATGCTAACTCATTCGGGAAAGACAAATTAAGAAAAACTAAGGATGGCTCCCAACAAGAAAACCAAAACTGATTTGCTGTTGTTGCCTAGCCACGTGGCTTGCGGTTTTTGGAGGCCAAGCTGCCCGGGTCAGAGAGGGGGCCTTAGGGAAGCTGCTCGGGCACGGGGCGCAGCAGGCTCACCAGCCCCGACTGTGCGGCTGCTCCTGGGAGACTGAGCAAAAACACGGGTCGCCAAAGCACCTGACGGCCCAGCTGCCAACTGAGGGGCGCTCTCTGGCACCCCATGCCGGCCCGCGGGAGCGGGGCAGCTCCTGGCACACACGCCGGCGCCCGCAGGGCTGTCGGCACCGGCTCGGCTCGGCTCGGCAGGCTGCTGCCCCGGGCCCGTGGTCGCTCACGAGGGGTCGGCCACAGCCGCACGCGGCCAGCGGGTCCAGCACGTACTGACCTGCGCTTCTCTCCGCCAAATGCCAACTGAGAGAACGTGCGGTACCACGTGAGCACGCACGGGGAAAGGCGCAGACATCCGTCCCCCTGCGTGTGGGCCATGGCCGCCCGGCGGGGCAGGCCGCGCGGCCCGAGGGCACTGGGGGCGCTAGGGGAGGGGGCACCCGACAGCCGTCCGCACCGGCGGCTCTGCTCGGCCGCGGGAAGCGTCCGGCCCGCAACCTTGACGTTCCCCGGCGTCGAGGCCGTTTCGGGAACACGCGCCGGGGCGAGGCCACCGGAAGTCCGCGCGCCCCGCCCGCGAGCGCCGCGCCGCCGAGGGCTGCAGCGCAAGGGCCGCGTCAGCGCGTCTCCGGCGGCCGACGTCACGGGGCGGGGCCACCCGCAGGCGCCGCCGCGGAGGCCGCTGTTGCCAGGCGCGCGCACAGCCAATCAGCAGCTGGCGCCTGCGCCGGCGGCCTCTGAACCCGGACGGCACTTCCTGCCGCCGGGCGGCGGGCGCGCGGGGCGATGCGGTGTGTCTGTCGGCGCTGCAGCACAAAGGAACAGCCATTTTGTGAGGGCGCCGGGCCCGCACCCTGACGGCCGGGGCCCCGCGCTGCGGCGGGGGCAGCGCTTCGCCGGCCCTCCCAGCGGCCGCGGCTGCCCGGCGCGCGGACCCGGGGCTGCCGGGGCTCTGCGGGCCGCCGCTCGCCGCCTCAGGGACGCCCGCGCCGGGCGTGCGGAGCCCTAAGATGGCGGCGGCGCGGGCCGGCGGAGGGACGCCCACGCCGGCGGCCGGACACGCGGCGGCCGGGCTGCTCGGGCCCGCGGCCCGGCGAGGGGCTCTGCCGGCGCGCCTCTCCTGCCGCACGGGCCCTCGCGGGTGCCCGGGCCGGGGCGAGGTGGAGGTGGGCGCTGCAAGCGGGGCCGCGGCGGCAGGGGCTGCACCCCCGAGAGCCCGGCGCCCCAGCGCCCCAGCGCCCCCGGCCACGACTCCGCGGCCCTCGCCCCACAGCTTGCCCGAGAAGGCCAATCCCGCAATCTCTTCAATAATGTGTCGGTTGCATCCGGGCCTTCCTGCTTTTCCCGATACCAACTTAGCAGAAAAATCCCTTTAGGATTCGAAGAGAAGTTTTACCCAAATACGAAAAGTAACTTGGTCGGCAGTTCAAGTCAGGGGACAGTAAGCAGTGCAAGCTGACAACTGCTCCATTTACCAAAGAACTTGGGAATGTAGCTTTCAAAGCAAAGCTGAAGCACTTTTTGGTCTGATAAAGCAAAATTCAAATTTTGCAATAAGCTATGTCCGCAACTAGTCTAATAGAAATATAGGTAGAAAACAATGTTGAGCGAAAAAAAACTTGTCTGCACGATTTAAAGTTTTTAACATGGCAATTTATCAGAAAAAAACCAAAGGCATTCATAAACTTTTTAAAAATATGCACAGATGATAAAACAAAAATCTGAAGACTTTATTCCTTAGTCACTAAATATGCACTCCCGGCAATGTTAAAGAAACCACGAGCTGAATATACAGTGTTATTTGCAAGTGTCAGAAGAGAAAGCATTCCGGATGACTCTGTTGAAATAAACAAGCAAATTTACCGCAGCTAAAACTGTGGAAATACACCTCTCCCAAACAGAAAACTCAACATAATGCATAACAACCCTAAAGCATATTAAATACAAAATACACAATCATCACAGTAACACCAAAAAAGAAATATTGAAAGTGTAACAAATTTTCTGTAAAGTTTGTGTTCACAAAGAAAATAGACTCTGATAAATCAAAATTTCCTAAAATGTCAAGCGATTCAAAAAGAAACGGATTCAAATAAAAATACAAACCGAGAGGCATCAATCAAAGAGCCTTTTTTGCAATTTCACTTTTAAATATACACTTTTTCATTCATACGACTTTCTGAAACATGTATTTACTATAATTTACTACTGCCAGGCTCCTGGATGGCCCCAGTTAAAGTCTGGCTATCCGAGATTCTTCAAAGAAAAAAATTTGCCGTGTATGTAAAATGGTGCAATGCAGCAATGGCTAAACCGACAAGGTCATTTTTCTGCAACACAAAAACCTAAAACCTGAGATTTAATGACAGAAAAACAGTCGTTCCCAGGAAAGGCTCCACTGGATCAAGGTATCCTACCTTCATACTGCCATATGAGGCCTTAAGTCACAACTCAACTTTCATAAATTGCTACCAAAAAATTAGGGTGTGGCATATTAGCAATCTCAAGGTCATGCTTCAAAAAACAAATCCAAATTAGAAAAATAATTTTTATAACACAGACAACAATCCATGTCTGTCAAGGTAAACAAGTGTAAGCTGAGGATTCCCCCAAAAATACGACCAAAAGCAAGAAAGTTGATGGTTCATACCTCGATGCATTGCTGTGTAGCGAACTGTCCTCCTCTTGGCTTTTGTCCTTACTTCTCATCATCTTTTAATTCGTAAATATTAAGGGGGAGGGGAAATCTGTGTTTGCTTTGAAGTCCTGTGCCCAGGTATTTACTGTCAAAAGTTGAAAGAAAGGTAAGGTCCCGGTCCTGAGCTGGCTTTATCATCAGGGACAAGGTCCTGCGGATGTTAACAATACTGACAGAATACAACAGCGGTAAGCACCCAAAACACCACAATATTTCTATTTTTTCCTTCAAAAAAAAGGAGAGGGTGAACCGGAGCGGTGGAAGCATCACTATCAATAAAGAAAGTTTCTCAAAGTAACACACTGGATACAAATAACAATCTCCGAATCGTATTGCGTCATCCAGGAATTTTTCATATTTACAAAAAATAAAGCAAACTCTAGCATGCAAATGTTTAAAATTGTCACCACTGATCATGAACTTACCTGATCCATGTAGTATGTCCAAAGCAAGAGTCCTATCTAGTAGAAAAATACAGATCCCAAATAATTAAAAATAAAGGGAAAATTCTCCGTTAAAAAACGAAAATAAATAAAATAATCTTCAAATATGTTAACTGGTCAAAAAAAAAAGCAATAATTAATACCAAAGCCGGTCCGGAAGGAAAAAAAACCTCATTAGGAGAGCGCACAAAAATGGAGGTGCGCCATGGCTTCTAAGCTGGAAAAAACAACGAGCTGGGCTCTCAGCACGGCTGCTGCTTTCCAACAAGGCACCAAGAGAAAGCTCCTAAAAGCTGCTTTTCTCCATAAAAATGGTCCGAATCGACCCTGGTAAGTCACTAGGAGAGGCAGGGGGCTGCGGGGGCCCCCTGAGGCTGCCCGAAAGTTAGGGAAAGTTGCGTAAAGTGAGGGAAGGCGGCGAGCAGAGCGCGCTCTCTAAGGCACAGCCGCCATCTAGAGCCTCCTTCCCAGCTCTGAGAGCTCTGCCTTTGATTGACACTCTCTACATTTACCCCACAACTCAGGTGATGTACCATAGACCCACCCCTTCATCTCCACCAAAAAAAAAAAAAAATCCTCCATCCCAGGGAGCCTGAGGACCCCCACCTCCACACCTCCCTGCCCCTCCAGACCACCCCAGCACGGGTGGGGGAGGGCTTCTTAACCCCCTCTGGCTCAAGCACCCTTTTTAAGCCAGAGAGAAATGTAATTTGTTCCTTTTGTCTAAAGATCTGCTAAATATTTCAGTCCTTGAGCTGAAATAACTTCCTCCCTGGACAGGAAGTGGTGCTTTATAAAGCCATTTTGAAAAAGGGATCATTTTTAAGAGAATCTAAAGCTCATCTTAAGTACCAATCTTTTAAAAGATGAGCCCCCTCCATGGGTAAAAGGGTTCCCAAATAAAAACAAAACCTTAATTTCACAAATTAAATTCAAGTTTTGTCTTCTTTATGATGCCTAAAAATCATCTAAAAACAACATTCAAGGGTCACTATGCCATTCCAATATGAAGGGGCAATTTTTTTGGTGACTCAAGAGCGCCTCCCTAGTGTTCAGTTGCATTAGAGCAAAAATTTACATGGGTTTTTATTTAAAAATCTCAATATTTTTCTTTGTACTTTCAAAAAAAAAACTCTTTACCCTACAATCTTGGAACTTCACCTCGCCCCCATTCTCACAGCCACAATACATTTCTTTTCCACACTAATTCAAGCAAAACAAATTTCTTCAGATCCAACACCACAAACTAACCACGGATAAGTAGCTTTACATAAAAAAATCCAAGATTGAGCACCTCTAAAACCAACAAAATATATTCAAGCCACTCCTCCAATCTCAACCAAATCTGACCCATCTCCACAGGTGATTAATAACAGTCCAACAGACGATCATCCAAGTAATATCAAAGGACAAATTCCCATAAAACATCAAAATCCTGAGATCAACAGAAGCAAAATTACTAAGTCAAATCAATTATGAAATCTTCTCACCAACTCCTTCCTTCATCCACACATTCCCAAAATCCAATCAACATTCCTTAATCAACACAATCTTCCAGAACCGAGGAAAGCTTTGTCAGATCACACCCAACCAAAGCAACAGTCCAATCTAGATATCTACACCACCCATCATCCAATCTGGATTTCACACCTCCCAAAAACCCAAAATTTTACATGCATATCAAGCTCATCCACTTCACATAAGTCAACAAGAATATTGTACGTGTATTGATCATGGATGGTTGACAATCACAAAAAATTAACGTCAACTATTCTTCTCTGAATGAAAAAATACAAGCAAGGATTCACTTTCGATTTAACCAAAATATGGCTACCACATCATGATCAGTTACTGAAAGTTATCTGCCAACGAGCAATGAATGTCAACCAGGCACCAGAATCCAAATGTCAGTCATCCTTGGCCGGGAGGAAATGCAACTTGTTAAGTATTTCAAATGTATGTGGGATGCTTACATTATTATCACCAAGATTTTCTTTATGTTGACCCAAGGGACATAACCATATAAATCTTCTTTCCATAATAGTAAGCTAATAGGAGACATCAGTTTAATTAAATTATTTCAATAAAACGTAAAGAGAATCATCCATCTTCATTATCATTTCAGAAATAAATGCCACATACACATCCTCAACACGGGAGCAACACGTACTTCCTTCCCAACTTCTTTAAAAATCTCATGAGAGGAAATATTCATTATCGCCATGAAATAAACCACTCCACAGGTGTTTCCAGAAAGTACAAATCAGGCTTTCAATCAGATGGCCATCTCAAAACCCAAATTTCCACAACACTATGAAATGATAAACCTTAATCAGGATAATCATTTCCAACATTACATTTTGCCAGTTTTATTCAGTACAGTTTACTGCTGAACAAATAAGGGTTAGAGTCATGAAAGCGATTAATGAACACTTAATCAAACTTCCGCATCAAAATAAAAGGCTCAAACTGAGAAATTTGAAGTGTTAGAAATTTTATTAAAGTTAACATTCCAAACAAATCAAACTGCAAAAAATTCCAGGGACACAAACTATATAATTCTATATCATTATGCCATCTTGTGCAAATGTCAAGAATATATTTCTTATGGTGGAACAAAAAGTCTGTAGAAAGTCAATCCCACTGTCCATTTGCTTGGGGTAGGAAGCCTGTCTTCATTCACTTCATGGAATCCACGTGAAAAGAACCCTGTCTTGGTTGTATAACATCCTTGTATTAATCCATGTTCCTCACTTCCCCATAGAAGGCTGCCATCTTGATTTCTCAGTGGAAGGGTCCTTCTGATGCAGGGTGCTTGATAAAACAAAAATTAAAAAGAAAAATTGTTTTTGGGATACCAATCATTCTTACTTCTCCAAACAGAAAATATCTACCCACCTGGAAGATACCCTACCATATCAAAGTTTTGTTTGTATTGTAACAAAGTTATATACAGTGTACACACACTATTGCTCAAAAACAGAATTCAACATAAAGACTGCACATAAGAGACATGAAAGTTCTTACTCTGCCACAGATATGTGGATATGTTTGTATCCACAAAAAGTGGCAGTTAAGAGCCAATTTTTTTAATATTTAACATCGTTATACCGTGTGTATGCAAAGAACAAAAATTAAAATTCAAAATTCCTGGAAAGCTACATTACAGAAGCACTGTGGCTTCTGAATCTCAATGCAGAAAATTTTCCAAGCTCCTCAAAGAAGACTAATTATAGAACAGAATCTTAGGGGATTAAAACAACAACAACAATGCAGTGGATCATAGGTTTCCAATACAACTCATTTTGTGTAGATAACACAAATGGCCAATAAGGCATCATGTTAATTTTCTGAGACTGGAGAAAGATTTTCAAAAGTGCAAAAGAAATGTCACATCTGTTTTGTATTTGAAATATCTTTAAAAAGTCTGTCCATTTATGTTGGAAAGGCAGGGCAACATCAAGGGAACATCTTCCACCCTCTGGTTCGCTCCCCAGATGCCTACAACACCAAGGGGTGGCTGGGCCAAGCAGGAACCAAGAGCCAGGAGCCAGGCCTCCCTCCAGTCTCATGTGTGGGTGACAGGGAGAAACCTGAGTGCTGGGGCTGCTTCACCTGTGTGCCTCTCAGGGTGCACACTGGCAGGAAGCGAAATGGGAAGCAGAATATGAGCAACCCTAGCAGGATCAGAGGTGCCGTGCAAACACCCCAAAATGCAATCTAGTTTCAAGCTCCATGCAATACTATTATTGTCAAAATGTTTCTACAGAAAACTCCATTCCTTAAATGATCTGAACTGAAGGGAGTAGTGGAAAGCCAGGTCATTTTAAAAATAAGTAAATGATCCAGATTCATCCTATCAAAACAGAGAGGAAGTTGTAAACCCCAGTTCATGTACATTTTACAGCTTTCCTGTTGATTTCTGAAGACACAGAGTAACTGAATAAAAGATAAGAACTGCAAGGGCACTTTTGCACCTAAGGTGAAGTTTCCTGCTCCCAAGGTAAGCTGGTACATGCTGCTTTCTGCAGGAAGTGAAATCTCCTGTCATGAGGCGCTGACACCCATATTGAAGCATGTACTCAGTGTCAGAACAGTCACCAACAGGAACATATTTCTGCTGCTGATAGGTTTCTGAAAAGCCTTAGAAAGGACAACTAAGTAAAACACCCCACATATCTGTCAAATATCTTCTATTCACTCAAATTATAGGACATCATTAGAGCAGCTCACAAACAAAATCACCATCCCCTTATCTCAGCTCTATAAACCAACTTCTCCATCTATTGTTACAATGCAGACTAGTAAAGCACTAAACCAAGTTGGAGCTGTAAATGCTACTGCAATGAACAATGAAACAAAGTGCATTTGCATCATGGTAGGACCATTTTCATAGTGACAGACCAACTTGCTCAATGTGTCAGAGTAAACGATACACTCAATGCTGTATATTTTGTCATGGTTAAGTTAAACCTATCCATAACAGTGCAAAAATTTCCTTTCAAACGCATTAACTGGGAAAACATAGCGAAAGAAAGCCTAGTGATATTACAAATCATTCCCTAGTCCTTCAATGAAACAGATTTGTGTGACAGTAAACTAGCAACTTCTCAATGAAGAAAGGTACACACCAAATAAATAAATAAATAAAGCTAAAGAGAATGGTGCACAACTCTTGAGTCATAAAAAAAAACCCAAAGAGCATTTTGCTAGTGACACCATGGGCTCAGTCAAGCATCAAAGTTGGTAAAAGATCAATGGATCAATGAGGGATTTAAGATTAATCTATTTACTTGCACGAAATTCCCAAGGCTAAACGTGCAAATAAACAAAATTATATTAAAATTTTTAAAAACCAAAAAAGACAAGAATTCTTTGAAGCTGGCAATATTCATAACGTAATCCAGTTGCTCACATCAGCACACAAGCAGTTCTGGTACATAACTCTTAGGACAGCAAATAAGGGTTAAATGTATTCATGCATTCATAGCATTTTTATCAATGGTACGTAGAAAGATCTCAATAAATGCTGGCTATCATTCCACCCAGCCAGAGCAGTCAAAGCTACTTTGTGTGGTAAAGCTTCTAATAAGGATAATCCTCTACGGAAAAATGGAAATCAGGGAGTCTGGCCAAGTAAACTAGAGCCTACACCCTCGCCTCGCATCCGCTGGGATCCCAGGTGGGCACCGGTTCACGGCCCGGCTGCTCCATGTCCCATTCAGCACCTTGCTCTGAACCAGGAAAGTAGTAGAGGATGGCCCAAAGCCTTGGGACCTGGGAGACCTGGGGAGAAGCTCCTGGCTTCAGATGGGCTAAGCTATGGCAGTTGTTGGGGAGTGAACCAGCGGATGGAAGCTCTCGCGCGCTCTCTCTCTGTAAACCTGACTTTCTGATAAAAATAAAACAAAAAAGGAAAAAAGGGGGAGGGGCGGAACCCAGGGGCCAATATGGTGGCTCAATTGGCTAATCCTAAGTCTGCAAGCACCGGCAGCACATACAGGCACCAATTCATGTCCTAGCTATTCCACTTCCCATCCAGCTCCATGCTGATGGCCTGGGAAGGTAGTGAAGGGTGGCCCAAAACCATGGGACCCTATATCCATGTGGGAGGCGTGGGGATGGCTCCTAGCCGCAGATCGGCTCAGCCATTGTTCATTTGGGAAGTGAACCAGCAGATGGAAGATCTTTCTCTCTCTCTTAATCTGACATACCTTTCCAATAAAAATAAGTAAATCCTTTAAAAAAAATCCGGGCCAGTATGGTGGCAAAGCAAGTTACTCCTCCGTTTGCAGTACTATCATCCTATATGGGCACTGGTTAACATCCCAGCTGCTCCACTTCCCACCCAGCTCCAGGCTCCCTGTGATGAACTGGGAGGGCAATGAATCTAAAGGAGCTCCTGACTACCAGCCTGGGCTGGCCCAGCTTTGGCCATCGCAGCCACTTTGGAAAGTCAAACACTGGACAGAAGATCTCTCAATCTGTCTCCCCCCTTTGTAATTCTTTCAAGTACAGTAATTCTTTAAAAATAAAAACAATACATACATCAGTCTTACACTAGTAAAATCAATGCCTGCAGTAAAAATGGTTAAAACTTATGTATGAATACTCACACACGTATACATACACATATGGCTGGTGGGAGAACTTCTCCACTCAGACTCAGTGGCTTTTTAAGAAAAATGTGCTTATTCTAAGACAACAGTTACAACAGGCAGTATTTCCGTGAGCAGGTCATGAGTAACTCTCTCTTCCCGAGCAGGAGGTTCAGTGTGCAGAAGTGAGCATGGCACTCTTCTTGCTAATTCTGCTTCAGTCCATCTGTCCCCAAAACACGGGACACGATAAAAATGCACAGGGCCGGAGGGCAACCCTACAAAATGTACCACCTCACCTCTCTTGTCAGAAACCTTTCTCAATTTTATTGGTAACAAAAAAGAGAGAGAGATGGCAGATAATACCTAATTTTTTACAAAATGACAAAAGCTATTAATATTAAATTGATGTAGCCTATATTACTTTGTCACTTACATACTTATTTTGAAACTAAAGGGACAAGTAGTAAGTTTCCATCCTTCCAATCCTATAATTAAGATCCTTGGTGTTTCTGAGTTGATCTCAATCTTCTTTGTACTTTGTCTTTAAATAGATGTGAATGGAAGAAAGCTTGAGAACTAAATTCACAAATCGTCTCTTACTGCCTTGCACACCACAAGGACGGGAACGCACGTGTCTAGGAGACAGCTAACTCCAAGGGGCCCGAGGCAGGGCCTAGCTAGAAGCCACAGCCTGCAGAGCCAGCATCCCAGGTGGGTGCCAGCTGGAGCCCAGGCTGCGCCACTTGCAAACCAACACCCTGCTAATGCCTATGGGAAAGCAGCAGAAGGTGGCCAAAGTACTTGAGTGCCTGATCCCACCTAGGAGACCCAAAAAAGTCCACTGGCCTCGGACCAGCCCAGCTATGGTCATTGCAGTCATTTGGGGATAGAATCTTTCTCTCCGCCTCTCTCCTCTCTTTGAACTCCGCCTTTCAAAAAGTAAAGATTGTAAAACTAACCACACGGTAATTAGAAAAAGACCAACCAGCTGTTGGTTTTTACAAACCTCAATTGTAAATACATCATCTTTTCTATGGCTTTACCATCAGATCAAATCTTGTCACTACTTGTTTGAAGCTTGACTACATATAAACGTTAAGACACTGCTGCAGAAAGACCAAGCTGTTTTCACTTTTAATTTTGACCTTCAGACATACCTTAAAATTTCAGCATTTGTCTTAATGATTTTAAAAATAAACCTAAAACACTACTTAACAAATATGTTTAACAGAGAATCTGATACAAGCAGTAAAGCAGTGCCTGAGTTTCTGCCCCATGTCAAGCATACCATCCCTTTCACAGTATCCCTGGGGGTGCTGGGTGCAGCAGCACACTCGGCCATCCCCTGGGACAGCTGGAACCAAGAGCTGCCTCTGCCCTCATCCAACGGTGCTACAGGGCTCAGCAGCAAGATGCGATGACCCAGGCACTCGGGCGTGTACACCCAGACACGAGACACGGGGGGAGCTCCTCGCTGGCTGCAACCCAGCCCAGACAGCACCCATCTAGTTTTATCTCTCCCCATTTTTGCCCTATTTTCTCCATTATTCCTTCAATGATATAATTTTTTGAAAAACAAAATACAACGAGATTAGGGTAATAATGTTAGCACATTAAGAAAGCTTTCAGGCCTGGCGGCGTAGGATCCCATATGGGCGCCGGTTCTAATCCCAGCAGCTCCACTTCCCATCCAGCTCCCTGCTTGTGGCCTGGGAAAGCAGTCAAGGACAGGCCAAAGCTTTGGGACCCTGCACCCGCATGGGAGACCCCAGAGGAAGTTCCTGGATCCTGGCTTTGGATCGGCATAGCATCGGCCGTTGCGCTCACTTGGGGAGTGAATCATCGGACAGAAGATCTCCCTCTCTGTCTCTCCTCCTCTCTGTATATCTGACTTTCCAATAAATAAATCTTTAAAAAAAAAAAAAAAAGAAAGCTTTCATCTCTACCCTCTATTAAAAACAAACAGGAAGGAGCCCAGCACAGTATCTCAGTGGCTAAATCCTCGCCTTGCATGCACCTAGGATTCCCTAGGAACGCCAGTTCATGTCTCAACTGATCCACTTCCCAGCCAGCTCCCTGCTTGTGGCCTGGGAAAGCAGTAGTGGATGACCCAAAGCCTTGGAACCCTGCACCCATGGGAGATCCAGAATAAGCTCCTGGCTCCTGGCTTTGTATTGGCTCAGTTCTGGCCACTGTGGCCACTTTGGGAGGAACCAGCAGATGGAAGATCTCTGTATTTCCTTCTCTTCATAAGAATCTGATATGCCTTTCCAATAAAAACAAATCTAAAAGAAAAACCTAAAGGACTGGTATGGTAGCTTGACCGGCTAATCAACCAAATTCAAGCACCAGTACTCCATATGGAAACCAGTTCATATCCTGGCTGCTCCACTTTCCATCCAGCTCCCTGCTTGTGGCCTGAGAAAGCAGAGGAGGCTGTCCCAAGGCCTCGGGACCTTGACAGCACATGGAGATCAGAGGAGGCGTCTGGCCTCAGCTCAGCTTGGTTTGCTGTTGCAGCAATTTGGGGAGTAAACCAGCAGATGAAGAACTTTATCTCTCCTCCCTGTAAATCAGCCTTTCCAGAAGAAAAAAAGACTTTCTGAGGCTGGTGTTTTGCCCCACACACTGGGGCGCCCAGGTGTGGCTGTGGCCAGAACGTGTCCTCTTGCTCCTGGAAGGCAGGGAGGCTGCCCCAGTGTGAAGACCTGGGTCCAGCTCTGGCTCCTTTCTCCAGCCCAGCTCAACACACGGGCATCTGAGGAAGCACCTAGCACGCAGTGCTCTCATTCTTTCTCGTATTTGTCTCTCAAGCTTCCTTGTAAAAATGAAATAACTTTTTCAGGCAAATAACCACTTACACAATGAAAGCTTAACTAGTAACAAGAAATAAATAAAATGCAGATTCCTAATGTTTCATCAAGAATTATTCATTTGGAAACACCTAGTATACAACTGCCTGAAAAGTCAGTCAACACTAATGAAATGCAGCTAACCATCAATCTTGACAATTCAACTTTCCCATTATATTGTTTCAACAATTTAGAAAAATTGTCCCTGGGGTTGGTGTCGTTGCACTGCAACTGAAGCCTCTGCCTGTGGGATAGGCATCTAAGTGACTGCTGGAATTCCCATCTTCTCTCTGCTAATGTCCCTGGGGAAAGCAGAGGAAGATGCCCAAGGGCATCAGCATCCACACAAATGGAACTCCTGGCTCCCTGCTCCCCGGCTGTGGCCATTTGAAGATGGGAGATCTTCTCCCTCTAAGTGTGCCTTTCAAATAAGAAAGCCTTGGAAGTAACCAACACCCACGCATAACCTGTCTTCCTTGGCGAAATTTTCAGTTTCAGTCAAGTTCAGAATTTATCAGAAGTAACTAATTATGGGAGCCAGTATGGTGGTGCAACAAGCTAATCCTCCACCTGTGGCACCAGCATCCCACCCACATGGGCTCCAGTTTTGTGCCCAGCTGCTCCATGTGCAATCCATCTCTCGGACTATGGCCTGGCAGAGCAGTGGAGAACAGCTCAGTCTCTGAGACCCTGCACTCACGTGGCAGACCTGAAGGAAGCTCCTGGCTCCAGATCTGTTCAGCTCTGCTGTTGTGGTCACATGGGGAGTCAATCAGCGGATGGAAGACCTTCTCTCCCTAGCTCACCTCTGTAAAATCTGCCTTTCAAATTAAACGCTTTTTGGAAAAGTAATTATGACACTGGAAACCTTTACAATGTATATTCTAACACCAAGAGAAACCAAAGGGCCTTCCGCGTTGTGCAGAGGCGACAACGCAGTGTTGCATGTTGGCCTGCTTTCCTCGTGACACAACACGGAGGACACCTCAGCCTGTACGGTCCCTCTCAACTGTGAGGCTCACGGCTGGGGAGCAGCCATGACCAATTCTCTAACAAAACAGCACAGGTGTTCGATAAAACTTTACAAAAACACAGGTTTTTCTAACATATGGGAGTTACTTCACATGATTTCTAGCAGAATCGATGAAAGGCTGGAGTGAATCAGTACACAAACTTGTATTGATAAGCTTCACATCTATCCACAATGTTTCTGAAATGTTTTGCTGAACCACTCTTTTCACAATTCTGTCTCAATTATTCAAAATTCCCACAAAATCTCTTTAACATTTAGAAACACAGTAGGCATATGAACCAAATACTTACTCAGGCTCTACCAGGTCTGCTACATTGTAAAGGCCCTCCAAATTATTCAGCCAGGGTATTGACTTGTCTGCACAAGACAAAAAGAATGTAATTTTAGGAATAATAAGGGTAAATGCCATGGCATATACCAAAACCTCAACATCTTTAAAGCTCAATCATCAGCAGACCAGACAACGCACATATTGACCAACAATTTTCCCAAACATGGTACAGAAACAGACAGTCTCTCCGAGGACAGGGAGCTCAAGAGCAGAGCAAGCGGCTGTAAAACCACAAAGTCTCCACTTTCAAACTCTGCACAGTAGGATGCAAACATTTGAATCACATCGTCAGCTGGGGTGAAAGCTAATTTTTTTTAAACAGCCAACATCACTCCTTAAAATATAGAATTGCGTGGCTTCTGGTCTTCCATCTAATCTGTTTGTAAGCCTTCTAAATAAAGGACAGCTTCCATTTCCCAGCTGCAAGGTCACTTTCCCCACTTGGTCACAGTCCACACGACCAGGGTGGCCAATTGCTGCGATCCTGGGTAACCCAGGAGAACCCTGAGGCACTTCACACACTATCACAACGACCTACTCCACATTCTAAAACATGAACCCGATCACAACTTCCCGTCACAAGGAAAGCACTGCTACCACCCCTCGAATACCTTCCCTGCCAAGGCATCCTGTTTTCTCAGGCACCCTGCTCCTATGTGATCGTAACAAATCACATTTATGTAGAATGTTTTAAAAGCTGACTAACAGTTAAGATGAACATTAAAATGACAAGATTTTTAGAACACAAAGGAGCAGAGCTTAAGTTTAGAACTCCATTTAAAAACCAAGCCATCCAAATGTTCTTCTAAATTATTGAGCCAAACCGTATTACTTCATCTAACTTCCTACGGCTACTAAGCCATTACCAATAAATCGAGCAAAGGTGCTTCAAAGTTCCTCGAGAAGCTGCTCAAACATCTTCCCAGATAACAAATGGAACTGAACGGAAACATTAGTTTTAAGTTTCCAACTTTTATCTAACCTGTACAAGATAAACCAGTAACAATATGACAAGATTTCTAATATGACAAAAAGTTTCTGGAGCCAGCTAACCCTCCACGTACAGGCTCAGCACCCTATCCGGGTACTGTCCAGTCCGATCTCCCAGTTTGCTATATGGGTGCCTGTTCCAGTCTGAGCTCCCAGCTTCCGCCTGGGAAAGCAATGCAGGATGGCTCAAGTCCACAGGCCCCTGAACCCAAGTGGGAAACGCAGAAGAAGCTGCAGGCTCCTGGCTTCAGATCCAGTTTGGCCCAGCTCCAGCAGCTGCAGCCATCTGGGGTGTGAACCAGTGGACGGAAGACACCTAGATAGGTCCCTCTCTCCTACTCTCTCTTCCTTAAATAAATCTGCTTTTCAAATAAAGGCAGATCAATCTTAAAAAAAAAAAAAAAGCAGAAAGTATTTTCTATGGGAAATCTCTCACGCTATTCTGAGCTTGAACACTTTGTGAGAATTTTACATTTAAAAGATTTCTGTTTATATTGCATCTGGTAGCCTAGTGGATAAAGTTCTTGCTTAACACGTGTTGGGATCCCACATGGGCGCCAGGTCGTATCCCAGCAGCCCCAAATCCCATCCAGCTCCCTGCCTTTGGCCTTGGGAAGCTGTAGAGGACGGGCCAAAGCCTTGGGACCCTGCACCACAGCAGCGTGGGAGAGCGTGGGGAGGCTCTTGGCTTCAGATCAGCTCAGCTCCAGCCATTGTGGTTACTCGGGGAGTGAACCAGCTGATGGAAGATCTTTATGTGTCCTGTGTAAAATCTGACTTTCCCATAAAAATACAAAAAACTTACCAAAAAAAGGGGGGACCTACTAACACAAAAAGGGTTACAGACTGAACCAGAACAGGACTCTGATCTCGCTCCGCCTCCACAATGACCCCAAAGCAAAGCAGTCCACAGCAGCACCCACTTCCTCCAAGCCACAGCTCCACAGCACGCAACCGGAACATGGCCAATAGCAGGCTTTCCCATTTAGCGACCAATTATACAGACAATGTACACCACCATTTTGATTGCTTGTCCTCAATTCTTGTATTGTCATCATTAGCCTGTTTATGCTCTCCAAACATCTGCTTCTAACTTCATTTTAAAATTAACATTAAGCTTAAAAGGTGTGAGCATTACAAAATAAGAAATCTACAAACCAGGGTAAAAGATTAGAGTAACTAACATTCTGAAGAAATCTGCCATAAGACAACTGACAAATCATTCTTGCTACAAAATACCCAGCTGGGCCATCCAAACTAAAATAAGCCTCATTACCAAGATATACATGTTGAAGATTTAACTGCTTTAAGCAGCACTCAATTTCAAATATATGGCTTTCTTTCAGAGAGCAAGAGTGGTTTCCACGGCTCAGGATCTATGGAGCACTTCGTAAGTAGAAATCAAAACTCTTCATACAAAGTTTGCTTCTTGGGTGTTGTAAATTACCCATATATTACTTGAGGTCATAACGTCCTTCCCCTCCAGGTGCAGAAATGGCAATTAGAAAACAGAAGTGTGCAGTGACCGACTCCCCTTGGGAAGGTAGCTGCTGCAACGGCTACCTCTGACACGCAGGAAGACGGCTCGTAACGCACATGCAAAGTGTCTCGGTCAGCTGTAAACTCTAACAAACACTGAAGTACTGCAATTTACAACAAAAAACTTAAGTTTCTTAAAAGCTTAGGATGCTGACTTATTCAGAGAGCTTGTATCTCTGCTGCTCCAAGCAGTCAAGTACACAATCACCTCAGGTCTTTCATTATTCCAATAGATCAGGTCCATCAGAGAAATACTCCAGGATTTACAATGCAAAAATTACAGTTTGTATTTAGAATGAGAGACTTCCTCGAATTGTTTTTATTACAACACCTAAGACAAGAGGTGGCCCTGAGAGCAGAATCCCACAGCCTCGCAGCCAATCAGGAGATAAAGGTCCACAAGACTGCAGGTGAGGGCGGGGAGCCTCCCGAGGGTCCCAGCACACAAGCCTCGCCACTGCTTCAACGAATCGAAAATGGCAAACAAAGTCTAACGAAAATTACATTTTAAATACCCCCCATTTCACATATTCCAGGCTCTAAACATCATTTATGGTTCATAAAAATCATTCCAGTAAGGTCTGGCTTTCATTTCTATGGAATGTCAGCTCATTTTGTGAACAATTATCCGCATAGTAAAAGCAATCTAACCACCAGTTTGATCAAATTTTAATGATTCTAGAATTAGTCCAAAATGCTAAGATAACCAGTCACACTGATTCTTCAGCAGAAAATGGTGGCACATTAACAACCTACCCTTCCTGTGCGGCGTCTGCTTCGCTCTGCGCACACGCGTGCCCGACAGGCTATACGTTACCCACTTACAGGATTCTCCAGTCACATTCGCCCTAACACACCCACTCTGCAAGACTGGCTCCCACTGTGCATTCTGCAATGCTACATCTAAGCATTACCATCTACATGGAAATCCACCTACACTGTCATCCAATGCCTTACTCTAGTGCATGTTCTCGTCAGTGATGAAAAGACGCAGCTCAGCACACCAGAGTTCATTCTGTCACTGACAAGTTTTACTTATTTTTTTTAATTATTGGCAGTAGGATTAAAACATAAAATCTTCATTTAACATTTCTAACCATCAACTGTTTGGGGTTTTATTCCCTTTTTGATGGGCCAATTCACATATCTGGTAGTTGATTACAAATACATTGCCGATGTATACTCAAAGGTACGCATGTTTCACCTGCGAAAGCCAATTCTCAATTTTTCTAAGAATGCACATCTATGAATGTCAAATTATTATCTCAACAGAAGGGCCCTTCTCCTCAGCCAAGGCAGCTTGTGGTAAAGGATGTCTTGATTTTTTTTTTTTAATGTATCACTGACTAAAAGCCTCACTTTTAGTTTTCTTTTGCTCACCATGATAAACATAAACTTGATTAAACTACAGAAAAGATAAATATCAAGTTAAAGGCAATAAAAACTTATCTATTATCCATTTGAACCAATACAGAGGCAACATCAACCAATAATATTGTACTTGAACTTCAACATAAACTTCAAAGACTAAAATACAGACTTTTCCCAATGGTAAACTCGCCCTTGTTTTTAATTAAGGGGTCATCTGTCTGTTCTTGGTTTCCCAAGACCTCTCTTCTATTCTACCTACTTTCTGTGGTCTATCACTAAATAATGATTAAAAATTCATTTCCAGGTTCAATGTCATGAATAAATACCAATTTCCTCACAAGTATCAGTGGACATGTTTTGTTCCGTTCCTAATCGTGAGATGTCACTGCATTATATACACGAATGCTGGGACCAGCATCTATTGTTTCATGTTGCAAAAACAATTACAATTAAAGGTCTCAACAGACATGACGCTCTGGGTTCCTGGAAAACACATCATAAAAGGACTATTTTAAATCCATCAAAATAACTAAAAGCTGAACTTACCTATTTAATTTCTGAAATGTAATAATAAAAAAACACAATGATAAAATGTAAAATTCTCATCTGTTCCTAAAATATGAATTGTACTATGAAAAAAAAAAAAGCTACCTATTACAAACTTCAGATTCTAATGTCAGAATTCTGCAAACTCCTGCAGATTCTAGATCTATCTAGAATGCCAAGCAGCATGTTGCTACCCGTCACAAGACGGTGCTCTGCAGCAAAGGAGACGCGGGCAACACGTCAGCACTCAGGTGGGCTCCCTAACTGCTGCCTATTTTCCCAAACGCCAGCATTTATTTCATTTCAGATGTTGAAGAAAAACATTCACTTACTTGCTGTGTCAAACAGTTGCCTAAAGATTTCTTTATCCCCCAGGATAAGATGTCAGCGTATCGCTCTTCACAATGGCGCACCTTTTAGAGGAAAGAAACAGTCCATAAATAACTCACACAAGCAGCTGTCAACAGGAAGAATCATCAATGCACAACTTCGTAACTACACAAAAGACAAACTAAAATCCACCTTCCACCCTGATTGTTTAAATTATTCTTTTAAGATCTATTAGTACGGACTGCAAGCTATTCAAATTTTCCAGTAAATTACTTTCATAAACATTTAAAACATTAAAATTGATTGCGTGAAGTATTATAAATATTAAAAATGTATCTTTCATGGTTTTCCTAAATATAATTGTTTCTATATTTCCAAAACTAAAACATCTTCAGTAGTTTAATCCATATTCAAAGAATACACGGTTATAAAAGCTAGACACACATATACGTTTTAACATTTCATTCAGTGAAAAAGAATAAAAGGCCTGGTATAATTATCAGTATTTTCCCATATTCATAATCACTTTTTTAAAAAGTCATACACAAATATAGGTTCTTAAATTATACATTCTCTAAGAGCAAACCAAAACCCAGTGAGGCAATTTTTATGCCAAGGCAGTAAGTCTCAATCTTACCTCAAATAAAGAGCTGTTTGTTCAGAACCATCAGCAATCCAGTCATTTTTAATCTTGCATGTTACCTTTTAAAAAAAAAAGATATCAACATTTCAATTTTTAAAGTACTTCTTTGTCAAAGACTGTATTTGCTAAACAATGAGAAAACATCTGAAAGACAAAATTTCCATGAAAATTTGAGACAGCTCATCCACACACAACCTACAGATATTTAAGATTCTGGGTTATTTCTTGTAGCATCTGTTGGCAATCTTCTTTCCTCATCTTTGGCTTGTTTTGGCAAATGCCATGGCGTAAGGCATTGGAAACAGAACGAGACCATCCCGACGCCTGGCTTTCAGTCTGTGACCTTGTTTTTATTCTCCGCTCCCTCTTCTGATTACAGATTGAACAAAGGTAAGGTTTGCAATTTTTATAGACTGAAATCATGCTAAAATTTCTTGTGCCATTTACAAATATCTTTTGCAATCATGACTACTATAAATTATCTCCTCCAAGAAACACTAGCGATGTTAAAATGGCCACTGGTGACTTTAAATTTTAAAGCACAAGTTACATGATCTGGAGCTTTGTCTTCCGAGCCAGTCTCCAAGTTACGGGCGCCGGGACCTCCACTCAGCAGGAAAGCAGGGCTGGCCCCCCTTCCTTGCAGCAGCCGCTGCGCCCCTCACGTCAAAAGATTTTGGGGCTAACCTGCTAGCAATCATTTTTCATCTTCATATTCAGAAGAACCCCAAAAACCATAGATTTCGAGTACCCACTGAAAGAAAACCAGCTTTCGGGGTTCCAAAATGTCAAAACCAGTCATTTCAGGAACCACAATTGGTACTGAAAACAAGAGACTGTGCAATTCGGATATGCGCAACTGTGAAGTACCAGCACCTGAAAGCGGTGCGAACAACAAAGCCATCTTCCTCGGGGTGCGGGGCGGGCAGCGCTCGGGCTCGGTCGGGGTGCCCTGCCCCGCAGGCCCACACAAAGGCGCGGCCCTTCCCGCCGAGCCGCCCCCCGGCCACCACGGGGGGCTGGCGCGGCCGGGCAGCCTGCGGTGCCCACCGGTGCCCACCGCCCGCGCCCAGCGCAGCCGGGCGTCGCACAGGCAGCCAATGCAGCCAACATGGCTCCCCGTCCTCGGCGGGGCCGCGCGCAGCCCGGGCCGCGGCAACTTCTAGCCGGGGCCGGGGCCGGGGCACCGGAGCCCTGCGCCAAGTTTCGCAGACAATATTTAAAAATCTACACAGATGGCCAGACGACGGCCTCCAACTTTTTAAAGACTCTTGACCCAAGTCCGCGCCAGCATTCGCGAGGAAGGATCCCCACACCAGCACCCAGCACCGCGCGGGCAATGGAAGCGAAGGCACACAGCGGTGTGGGCGGCCCGGCCGGGGACTCGCACCCGCACCGCGGCTCCCGAACCCCGCAGCGCCGGCCGCCTCGGCCCGCAAAGAGTTAAAAGCCAACACCCAGCCGGGGGAGAAGCCCAAGTTTTATTTCTGTTTAAACGCACTCGGGGCTCCATTGTTCTCCCCAGTCGGCCCCCCGAGACCGTCACCCCCTTACCACGCGCAGACCGCAAGCCTCCCGAGGGAGGGAGAACCCCCACAGGAATTTTTTTTTCTTTTTTTCCCCCTTTTTGGCCCTAAATCCCAAAACCGCTCCCAGGGCGGTGTGGGGCTCTCCGCCGTCCCCACCGCCTCCCGCACGGCCCGGCCGCCCCCGCCCGCCCGCCCGCGCCCCCCGAGCCGCGACCCCGGCCGCCGCGGCCCGCCCGCGCTCAAGGACGTCCTGCCTCCCCTTCCAAGGACAAAGGACAATGCGGCCCGACGGGAGCCACTCACCGGCTGAGCGCGCGGCCAGCGGCCCCTCCGCATGGCCGCCGCCGGGCGAGGCCGTCGCCGCCGCGCCTCCGCCCCGCCGGGCCCCCGGCCGGCCCGCAGCCCCGGGGCCGCCGCCGCCGCCATGGCTGCTCGGCGCCCAGGGCCCCGACGCCGGCTCGGCGCCCGCTCCCCTCAGCCGCGGCCGGCCGGCCGGCTCCCAGGGCCCGGGGCCGCCGGGCGCGGTCTCCCGCCAGCCTCCGGGGCCCTGCCGCCGCGGCCAGCCGCCTGACAGCTCGGGGTGCTGCTGCCTCTCCGGCCATCTTGCGCCGAGTGTGTGTGGTGTCTCTCCGTCTCCTCGCTCGGCTGTGCTCCCTCCTCCTCCTCCCCCCGCCCCACACACCACACAACATGGCCTCTCGGCTGCGGCGGCGGCTGCGGCGGCAGAGCTCCGCCGGGCGCCTGCCCGCTCCCCTCCCCCACCTCCCGCCCGCAGCCCGGGGCCGCAGCGCGCACGCGCGCCACCGCCCGCCCGCCGCCGCCATTGGCTGCTCGGGCTTCCTTCCCGGGAGCGGCCTCACGCACGCTCGCCGTCTTCCTCCGGCCCAGCAGCAGCCAGCGCCTTCCTATTGGTCCATTCTGACCCACCCCCTCCACTGCCTCCGTGCCAATAGGCTCACTTTAGTGTCACTCAGCTCTACGGAGGCGTTTCTTATTTCAAGAGACACCCGGGCCGCGATTGGCTGACGGTGAAAGCTCGGGGTTCTCAGTTGGGCTGATGTCGTTCGCCCCGCAGTGCGGACCCCTCCAGGCTTGCTGGGGGTTGCTGGTGGGGGCTGGGCTGGGCTGGGCTGCAGTCGTTAGCCCAGGCCCCTGCGATCCAGGGCTTCTCCGCAAAGAGCTCAGGCTTCAGATTTTTGTCTGAAGGAAAAAAAAAAAAAAGACGAAGTCTGACAATGATGGGCAGACGAGCTGCGGGTCCACAGCCCTTGGGCAAGCAGCCATGTCCTCCAGGTTTTTTCACACAGGCAGCGAGGCCTCTGCGGAGGCCCGTGGCAGTCAGTGTCCCCTCGGTGTCCCTGACAGGGCCTCTTGAGATTCTGCCTACAGGGAGGGTTTGCTTAAGTGAGGTTGTTTGAACAGCAACCACAACGGCCTGCCGGCCCAGGCTTCACCCAGAAATTCCGAAAAAAGAAAAAACCACCTGCGTTTCCTCTGAGCGAGTCTCACTTTTCCTCATCGCTTCCTCCTTCTTCACTCTGGAGCAACTCCAGGTGAACCACCCGAAGGGACTCAGGAAGCCAGCGCAGGACTGGAGGGTGGGAGGGGGTGCTCTTGGCTGGGCCCCGGTGCCCACCCCAGCAGCCCCTCGGGGGTCTTGCCATCCCATTGGCTGTCATCGAACCAGAGAAGGCTGTGTTACGCGAGCTAAGCTCTGAGCCCTTCATAAAATGGCCGCAGTGGTAGTTTCCCCGACTCGGCATGGCGTGGGCCTGAGGACAGAGCTGGGAGCCGCCTGGCCACCCCCCTTGGCACACACGCCCACACCTGCTCGGAACACCTGCAAGCGATGCCCCACCCGAGCCCTTCTGCCCTCTTTCAGCCCTCTTCCAGCCTCCTGGTGGTGCTGGAGCCTTGGGGCCCAGGCCCCTTCCTTCTAGACCACCACCGCTACTGAATCCTAAGGCCGCCTTTCCAGATGCTGCGTGCTTCTGAGCCAGCGAAGCAGGCCTCAACAGGTCTTAACTGAAAAGCAGTGAGGGCTTGAAAATCCATGAGTCACCTGACCATGTGCCAGACGAGTCTCAGCCCTCCCTGCGAATGGTTACCTGGGTTGATCCCACGGCGCTGGTCATCCCTTGGCCTGATCCCCTTTAGGAAACGGAAGGACTCGCCCCGGTGAGCGGCAGCAGAGCCAGGGGCAGTCCAGGTAATGTGGCCCAGACCCCATTCCCACTGCCTCTCCTTTGCCGAATGGAAGGTTTGCATCTTGTGCTGTGCGGCTCTTCCCTCCTGCCTCCATACGAAACCGCGTTTAGAATCAGGTCCCTCCAGTCTGACTGAATCCCCAGCCCCCAGCCTGTCCCTGGGAACCATCGCTTTGACGGTAAACCCCTGCACTTCAGCCATGGAGTTGCCCCTTTTCCGGAGGCTGTGCCCTCAGCTGCTTACAAACCTCTCCCAACATGGACCCTCGTCCAGAGAAAGCCCTCATCTGTGGCGTCGAAACTGAGTTCCCCATCACACATGACAGCCATTCCTTGTGCCGTACCCCCCTCCACCACCACCCTTAAAGCTTCCAGCGTTCTGTCCTACCCAGAAAGCCCCTGCACCTGGCCGACTACCTCCCACCCCTGCAACCTGGCTTCATTTTCACTCAGAGTCATGCCCTCAAAGCTAAGGCGTGAAGAGGAGGCGCCCCGGCCCTGCTGCTCCCACAGAGGAAGGCTGTGCCGGGCGCTGGGACTCTGTTGCCCTTCAGTGTGGTCCAACGGATGGAGACCGCGGAGGTGGCTGGAGCAGGGCCGGGCAGGGGACAGCACCACCTCTTTCCCTCTAGTCCCTTTCCTGCCTTTTGGATTTTGAGTGATGTGAATCTATTACCGTTTTCTTTTTTCATGTATAAGATGGAAGGGAGCAAGGAAATGAGGGAGGAAACGATGTGATTTGCTGGGCTAAATGACAGCACTGTGGGACGAGCGGATTTTTCTGAGCTAAAAACTGTGGTGTCTGAATTTGTTAGAATAAACACCTGGGGTTTTTGGTAGTGAGATTTTTTTTTTTTTTCTTAATGAAATAAAGCTCACACAAAACTTAGCATCTCCACGACTCTAAAGTGCACTGTCTCAGCCAACAACCTTGGAAGGACTTCTTCATCCTTGGAGAAAGAAAATTAATAACATATCAAAACTATTGAAACCACTTGAGCAAAACCCTGGGAGCATGCTCCATATCGGGGGTCCCTGGGATGACAGCAGTGGCCACCCCCAACCCCGTGTACTGATGCGGTTAGGATGCTGGGTATGGCGTCTCTCTTCTCTTCCTCCCTTCCTCCAGATGTAGGAACAACAGAAAATTGGAGACAATGGTTTCATCCACTTTGCCCTATTCCTGGACCCTTCCCACCCTAATCAGTGGTCTACATGGACATGCCTTCTTCTCAACTATGTAAACATCATCAAAAATAAAGTTGTTGTTTAAAAAAAAAAAAAGACCTTAGCATCTGCAGAGATGTCCACACCAGCTGCTGCATCCCAGGCTGATGGCAATCAGGTTCCAGGTCCTTGATGAAGGGGGACACAGCTTCCCCTCGTGTGGCTCACAACAGCCAACGAGGAGGCTTCCCATGGCACCCCAGGACTCTGGGCTGCTTCCCTCTGCACTTTGTGCCTTGCCGACACCCTGTTCTTGGGGAGTCAGCAGCCCAGATTCCTCCAGAGCCTCAGGAAAACCCGGCAGGATGAGACTCAGTCAAGTCTGGGCTTCAAGTGCGACACTCCAGATCCCTGCCATTCTGGTCTTGGTCTTTGCAAACTGCAGTGGGACCCAGCGGCGTTTGCCCGTGCCCACCCTCTGTGGGACCCAGCGGCGTTTGCCCGTGCCCACCCTCTGTGGGACCCAGCAGGGTCAGCCCATGCCCTCCCTCTGTGGGACCCAGCAGGGTCTGCCCGTGCTCTCCTTCTGTCTGTGGGACCCAGCGGCGTTTGCCCGTGCCCACCCTCTGTGGGACCCAGCAGGGTCAGCCCATGCCCTCCCTCTGTGGGACCCAGCAGGGTCAGCCCATGCCCTCCCTCTGTGGGATCCAGCAGGGTCTGCCCATGCCCTCCCTCTGTCTGTGGGACCCAGCGGGGTCAGCCCATGCCCACTCTCTGTGGGACCCAGCGGGGTCTGCCCGTGCCCCCCCCCCTGTCTGTGGGACCCAGCGGGGTCTGCCCGTGCCCACTCTCTGTGGGACCCAGCCGGGTCTGCCCATGACCACCCTCTGTCTGTGGCCTCCTGCTGCTGTCCCGCTGGCACCTGTCTTCATTTCTTTGATTCAGGCTTTGGTGCACACAGGGTCAAAGGTCATTTGATACTCAAAGCAAGGTTTGTAGACAGTCACCACACTTCCTCCTGGTGCCAGGCATTGCTGTAGGAGCTAGGGGTGTGGCACCAGCAGGTGGGTGCCCTGTGTTCTCCTGCAGCTCCCATTCCACTGCAGAAGACCAGAATTAAGAAAAGACCAGGCAGAGCTAAGAGGCGTGAGGATTTCAGCTGAGTGGCCCTGGGGAGGCAACACTGAAGTTGCAACAGGCCATGGAGCTGCTGTGTGTCTGAGTGGGTGTCGGGCTGGGGGTGGGGAAGAGCACTGGAACCATTTTCGTTCACGTTTCTTTTCTTGCTCTTTTTATTTGTAAGTCATAAAATCTTAAGGAAGCCAGGAAGGAGCAAAGAGCCACACAACTTTGAAAAGCTAGGAAACAGATGTGTGGTAACTGATTCGGCAAATGCAAGGAAACAGATTGAGCCCAGTTTGCACGGGACGCAGACATTGCCACAAGCAGAAAGCGCAGGGACTGAAGAGCAGCCGCCATCTACAGGAACATGGCATGGAGAAGCAGCTCATCCTCAGGCGTCTCCCCCTGCCCCCACACCACCCGAAAGCGTTCCAGGGGAAGTGGGAGGCAGCCCCTGCAGAGGAAGAAACCCTGTGCATTCACCCCCGACCTCCTGCCTAGTTGGTTCTCAGATTTCTACCTTCCAGGTAGGCGAGTGGGGGACCCTTCTCTGAGGAAGGGAATCAACCCAGGAGTGAAGCCCTACAGAATGAAACACAGGGGCCTCTCAGCTAATGGCTGGAGCTGGCCACCACCCAGGGATCTTGTGGTACAGCCTATGCTACCCTGTTCCACCTCTCCATCTGTGCATTGCCAGGCCTCCCTTCACCACGCATCTTCCTTCCCACCCCAAAGCCTTGCCATCACCATGTGGGCCCACAGACCCCTTGGCGTCAGTATTTATCCAGATGCAACCCTGGAACTCAAGGAAGATGGCGTCTGGAGGCCATCCTGGAGGATCAGTGCTTCCCTTGTCATTCCCCCAGGGGAGAGTCACAGGAATCATCATGTT